GTGTGTGTGTGTGTGTGTGTGTGTGTGTGTGTTGCGCTAGCCCTCTGTGAATAAGACAGGATGTTAAGTTGGCCTCTTCCTCCCATGGCCCTGCCTTTCTCTCAACCCATTTGTGTATCCTTTAGGGGGGTGGGGAGGATGGAGAAGGACATCCCCCATCAACCAGCCCATTGTGTGACCAGCTCTGTGCTGGGCTGTGAGGAGTCAGTGCCCAGCGGCCAGTGAGAATTAAAGACCCCTGGTGCCAAAGAAGGGAAGCAGAGTGGTCAGTGTTCTGGAGAGGAGGAGAGGAGGGTGCAGGGTCAGGGAGGAAGCCACAGGGCTGGGGCCTGAAGGCGAGGTCTAGGCTGATGGCGTTACTTAATGCTGTTTCAATGCACACAAATTTCTTACCAGCCTGATTAGGTCGTGCAGGGACCCAGAGAGAAAGAAGGCCCAACCTTCAACTTCCAGCAATGTGCAGAGTAGCAGGATAGAAATTGAGCACTAGAGTAATTTGTGTGGGGGAAGACAGTGGGGGGCGGGTTGGAGTGAAAAGGAGGACAGCGGGCAGGCACTGAGGAGACAGCTTGGCTGCAGTGACAGATGTGAAGCGACAAAGACTCTGAGCAAGGTAAGACGTCGAATGCCAAGGGAGGAACCCCTGAGCTTTCTGAGGACAGATAGGAAGTTCCATATAAGTTACTGCAGCTTCTCGCCCTCTCCCCAGCCATCAGAGCTTCCCTAGCCAGACCCCAGGCTGGACTTTTCAACCCCTGCTCTTCTCCCTGACACTGCCGGGCACCTGCTTCCCTTCCCCACCTGGGGCAAGGGTGGAGGTGCTACTTCCGGAGCAGGCTTTCCTGCTGCAGTTAAGCATGCTTTCCCCCACTGCTCCACCAGGTTGGCCTCACCTTGCGTGAACAGTAGGGCATTGCCGAGGTCTCTGCTGTCACTCTGGTCATACAGCCCCGGAGGAGCTAGGTGAGGAGCGGGAGCGTGGAGACCCCACAGCTTGGCCTTGTCAGTCCCATCTCACTGAGAGAACTGTGCTTGACTCCCTCCACAGCCCCCCACACCATGCCCAGCCATGACACAAGGGTGACGTACACTGGCCTGAGGATCCTCTCCCAGAGTCCCCCGATTGCTCGCTCCGTCCGGCCCCGCCACACCAGTGCAGCTAGGGGAGCAGCCTCTCTGAGCAGTGGGAGGCCTGGCCCCTGCGCTCACCAGGCGTCCACCTCCCAACTGGACACGGCTTGGCCCCCTCCCCCATGTTCCTTGACCACCCCCGGGGCATAAAGTAACCAAAAAGGGGGCTGCCGTGGGGAGAATACGCACATGGGAAGACACGCACACACCCCCTGAGCTTCCACCAGCTCCTCAAACTCAACTGTCCCGGAGAAACTGCATTACGATTAATCCTCACTTCATTCATTCATCCATCCACCCATTTTTCCTTTCTTCTATTCAAAGAATAGCATTCGGTAGGGCGCAAGCACTGTGCAACCTACCAGGAACAGTTTGGTGGAACAAGTCACCATGTCCCTCCGGTGATCAGGTTTAACCCAGAGGGGAAGACAACAGAACGTGAATAATATACAAGTAAGCAAAGAATGGGTTTTGGTAAAATCTTGAATGTGGATAATATGATAGATATCCAGATACATCAGAACTGCTGGGGTGGAGAAGCTTGGTTAAAGGCAGATTGCTGAACCTCCACCCAGAGCTTCTGATCCAGCCGATCGCAGGGAAGCCCGAGAAGCCACATATTACATTGCAGACACCGCCGCTGCTCTAAGAGCACCCTTTGAGAACCGCTCCACAGACTTTCTGTGGAGGTGGAAGGGACTTCTTTAATCCTGAAGACAGCTCTGAGTGTGTGCAGCCTCTGCGCCACGAGGGACTGAGAGAGGGGAGCCGGCTTCTTCTTTTCTTTTAAAGATTTATTTATTTATGTATACAAGAGTGTAGGCCAGAGGTGTGGGAAGGTGAGAGGATTCACCAGAGACAGGGTAGGGAGCAGAACAGGTGTATCCATAGAAAGACACTGCTAAGAGGAGCAGTGGGCGACCAGAAGTCTGTCGTGTCATGTGGGTCACCTCCCTGGCCAGGGATTGAACTCGTGTTGCAGTGGGTGCTAATAGCTTGATAGTGCTGAGAATAACCCCCTTGCACCAACAGCGAGGCGCCAGGGGCTGGCTTTGTAAAGGTCTGGGCAAGAGCATGATGGGCAGAGAGAACATTGGAAGGACTGCCAGTGAAAGGCACAGGAAGGTCAGGGTGGCCAAAGTCAGTGCTTGTGAGTGGTGGGGGCGGAGATTGGGGGTGGCTAGCGTTCACTCTAGAAGCAGGGTCAGGTGTTGAAGTTTCTATCCAGGGGAAAGCGTAACCTGTTGGAAAAGATGACTCAGGCCACGGTGTCAAGACTGGGTAAATGGGGGTGCAGAAATGGGGAGAGTGAGGAGGCTGTTGCTAAGTGCCTGCAGGGAGAGGTTCCTGGCCCTCACCTGGACAGTGGAAATAGAGAAACCCCAGATTTAACATATCCCTGGTACAGGGCCTTGGGGAAGCTGGTGGGAGCACAGGGGGCGGGGGTAGAAACTGAGTGGAAGGAGAGTTGGGGAAGGAGAACAAAAGTTCCTGGACTGGACTAAAAAGGTGCCAAGACCTGTGCAGACAGAACTAGCCAGGATATCCAGTCCCTGCCTCAGGCTGCCCTCAGGGGTTTCTTCCTCAGCTGCCCTGGTATGCAGGCAACCTGATTTCTCTTATATTAAATGGTGTGTGTGTGTGCGTGTGTGTGACTTCTCCACTAGAGGAAGACAAGCCCTTGATCTCAATTGGGATCCACCCCTCCCTGCTGCCATCCCCTAGCTAAAGGCTTCTCAGGGCCCACCGCTGAGTTGTGCTGTCTCTATCTCCTTGTCAGTGTCTACCCTCATCCATCCAAATCCCCACCTGAGGATCTTCCTGACAGCAACAGTTCCCAGGGAGCCCCTCCCTGGCCTTCCCCGGGGCTGCCAGAGGGCTGCCTTGGGGCTGGGCACACAGCAACAAGGACTCGTTTGGAATGTCATCTGGGCAGCACCAGAATCACAGGGTCAAAAAAATAAGAGGGGCTTCACGCTATTCCAGACAGGGAGTTCCCAAGTCCCAGCTCTTATGCCTCCAAATATCGGGACTCATTATCCATCCTGGAAAACGCATTTCACTGCCTGACAGCTAAAGGCTATTGAGTTTTCTTTTACTAATTTGTCTCCCTCAAACTCCATTAATCAGATATGGTTCTGCCCTCTGGGCCCATCTGATACCTCTCACAGAATCTCTCTTCCACTATTTGAAGAGGAGCTAACATACTTACTTTTACTGCAGCCTGAAGAACCCCGACTCCCTCTACTATGTCCCACAAACTGGAGTTCCTACGCCTCTTTTCTATCCTATAAAACAGCAGGAGTTTTAGGAATGTGACCTGCTCGAGGCACATGAGCATGGGAAGTTTCATAAGCATTAGTACACGCACAGTGAGGGAGGGCAGTGTCTTCAACACGGAGCCTTGTCCTGCCTGCTCCCTCACCCTCCTGGGCTGTGGTCTCAAAATCACCTGAGAGCATCAGAAATTGGTTGTATATCCCCCAAACCCCCCCCACCCACACACCGTGTAGGGCCCTGTGTACCTGTGTCCAGCAAACCAGTCTTTGCAGGCCCTAAGGGGAGGAGCCCAGGGACACTCTGTGCCCATCACGGGCAGGGAGTCACGCCTAGGCCACACCCACAGCCAACAGTGACGAGAGCGACATCATCCATGCGGTCCGAGTGGAGAAGAGCCCAGCCGGGCGGCTGGGGTTCAGTGTGCGGGGAGGCTCTGAGCATGGCCTGGGCATCTTCGTCAGCAAGGTGGAGGAGGGGAGCAGTGCAGGTGAGCAGCCCCAAGTGGTGACATTCTGGTTTAGGGTGTGACCTCCCCTCCCTTGTGAGGCCTGGGGATGCTGTTGTCAGGATGGAAGGAAAGGGCTCTCAGCTTTGGAGGGCCTGATCTGATGGGGAGACAGGGCCCCCCTCAGGGCAAAGTGGGCTAATTTCAGGTCCCTAGTCAGACCCTATCGGGGGGATCTCCAATCCGGTAGAAGCATCTTAGTTACACCCCAGGGGGCTGGGTCCGATGGGAGAGTCTCATTTTTACTCAGCGGACCTTTCCCAAGGGGCTCACGCTGGCCACCCTCTCCCCTGGCGTAGAGCGGGCTGGGCTGTGCGTGGGAGACAAGATCACGGAGGTGAACGGGCTGAGCCTGGAGAGCACCACCATGGGCAGTGCCGTGAAGGTGCTGACGGGCAGCAGCCGCCTGCACATGATGGTGAGGCGTATGGGCCGTGTGCCAGGCATCAAGTTCTCCAAGGAGAAGACCACGTGGTGAGAGCCCCCAGCTCCCCAGCACCACTGCCCAAAGCCCAGGCGGGAGAGGCTGAAGGCAGGGGACACCGCGCTAGTATGGCTTCCACTCCCCTGCCCTCTGGCAAGAAATGTGGGTCCCTAAGACCTGACATGGCAGTGGGGGAAGGGTCCTGTCTGTCCCCCAATCCTCTGTTAACTGCCCTTCTGTCCAGACCCCACTGACACTCGCTCCACCCCACTGCTAGCCCAGGCAGCCACAGTACCTCTCCCTCAGGGGCCTCGTGAGGATTTGAAAGGGGGCCTCGCACCTGGGCACTATCCCACTGCAGGCCTCAGGCTGGGGAGTCCCACAAAGGCACCCCTGCGTTCCCCAGCAGGGAGGAGGGGTGGTGGAGGATGGGGGCACAGGCAGAGGCCCTTGCTGTCGCCCCAGGGTGGACGTGGTGAACCGGAGGCTGGTGGTGGAGAAGTGCGGCTCCACGCCCTCCCGCAGCAGCTCAGAGGACGGCGCCAGGCGCATCGTGCATCTCTACACGACCTCCGACGACTTCTGCCTGGGGTTCAACATCCGTGGGGGCAAGGAGTTCGGCCTGGGCATTTATGTCTCCAAGTGAGGGCTGGGCCAGGCCGGATTCTGGCTGGGAACAGGCCTGGGCTGAGGAGGGGTCAGCAAGTGAGGTCTGGCCATCTGCACATTCGGCTGTGGGCCCAGGTCTGGGCTGGGGCCTGGGGCGGGGCCGAGTGTCACCAGGAGAAGATTAGGAAGTTTAAGCGGGGCAGCTCTGCACCCCAATGGGGCTCAGAGGGCAGGCCGGGCGGCCTGTCACACCACTGCCTGTCTGACCCAGAGTGGACCACGGCGGACTGGCAGAGGAGAACGGCATCAAGGTGGGGGACCAGGTCCTGGCGGCCAACGGGGTCAGATTCGAAGACATCAGCCACAGCCAGGCCGTGGAAGTGCTCAAGGGCCAAACGCACATCATGCTGACCGTCAAGGTGGGCAGGCCCTGGAGTGCCCGAGATGCTCTGCCAGTGCTGACCTTCCCACCTCCCCAGGGGAGGTAGAGCAGACATTGTTCTCTCCCCCCGTTTTATAGCCAAGAGGCTGAGACAGAAAGAGAGAGACTCAGGAACTGTAGTCAAGTACCCAGCTGCTCCAGGTCTGCTCCTCAGACGCGGAGGGCAGCGCCCTTCTTAGGAGTGGTGGAGGCCTAAGGAGGAAGGAGAAAACCTACCCGGGAGGGTGGAGAGGTGGAGTGGTGGGCACCCTCAGGGCACAGGGCAAGGAGGGCTGGGCGGGGGCCAGAGATTGGATTTCAGGGGAGGCCGCTGGCTTCATTATTCATGTGGGGCTCACGCTTCCCTGAGGATCAGGTCCTTGCTCTACCGAGGAGGGGCTGCCTCATTCTCCCCAGTTTCCATTCCTGGCTCCTGCTTGCCCCCCATGGCCTTTACCCATCTTACCGCTCAGCAACCCACATACTGCCTCTACGTCCCACTCCACCACATCCCACTTCTCTCTTTCTTTGCTCTACACTATCCCAAAGGCAACCGCTCTCTCCTACTCAGCCTCATTCACCCCCTCATAGTTTTTATTACCTCTTACACTGGGCACTGGGGCTACAACAGGAAACAAGACAGAGGAGAACGTTGTTACTGGGAGCAGAGAAACTAGATAATTGTAGCTTATGAAAATTAAGAGAGAAATGGATGGGGTAGTTCAGGAAGGACCTTTCAGCCAGGGGTTCCAGGCTGACCTCCTGGGGAGGTGCCCCTGAAGGAGAAGGCGCTAGCCACAGATGACGGAAGGAAGAGAAGCCAGGCTCCTGGAACAGCGAGTGCAAAGGCCCTGGGGTACAAAGGAACTTGGCATGTTCAGCAATAAATCAGCTTCTGTGACTAGAGGGTGATGAACTTGGAGTAGCAGGGCTGTAAGGTTCCTCTGTCTCAATGGCCTCCTTGCTTACCCTCTCTTTTCACCCATTCCCCCATACCCACACACTCCACCTTCTACCACCCACTCTCCCACCCTCCCACCCTCCTACCCTCCACCCCACCCCCCAGCTCTACGCCGGCCCACTCACACCCCTTCTCTGCTCCCCGACCCCAGGAGACCGGTCGGTACCCTGCCTACAAGGAGATGGTTTCTGAGTACTGTTGGCTGGACCGATGTAAGTGACACCTACCCCCAGATTGGACAGAAATGACTGAGGGGACGGGGGCAGACTCCCTGAAGAATAAATGGGCAGGAGGACCAAGGTCTCTCAGGATTTTGACCCTGCCCAGCGCCCATTCCCCTTGGAGAAGCTCAGGCTCAGGGGTCTGGAGACCCGGGGTGGATGGAGAAGTGACTCCTAAGGTCTCCCGACACCGGGTTTCCCACAGCCAGTGGTTCCACCTTGGCTACTGCTTCTCCCTCCTCCACCCCCAAGCTCGGGAGCAGTCTGCAAGCCTGGCAGGGCCCTGAAGCCATGCGGCCAGACCCGAGACTTCCTGCCTTCCCCATTGCCCACAGTGAGCAACGGGGTGCTGCAGCAGCTGTCCCCCGCCTCCGAGAGCAGCTCCAGCGTCTCCTCATATGCCTCCAGCGCCCCCTACAGCTCGACCGAGGGCTCCGGCTCCCTGCCCTCCGACCGCCTGGACGTCTGTCTGGGGTCTGAGGAGCCCGGGAGCCTGAGCCCAGGCTGGGGTCGTGCGGACACGGCCATGCAGACAGACCCCGACGTGGGGGGCCGCGTGGAGACCTGGTGCAGTGTGCGGCCCACAGTTATTCTCAGGGACACCGCCATCCGCTCCGACGGACCCCTGGCTGCCCGCCGCCTGGACTCTGCACTCTCTGAGTCCCCCAAGACAGCTCTGCTGCTGGCCCTCAGCAGACCCAGGCCCCCCATCACTCGCTCTCAGAGCCACCTGACCTTGTGGGGTACGTGGTGGCGGGGCCAGTGGCTCCAAAGTGCCCCAGCCCAGACCCTGCCTCAGCCCAATCCTCCTTTTATCCCTGGTCCTGCCCAGCCCAACTTCTACCCTCAGACACTGCTTGGTACTCCATTTTTAACTGGTCCAAACCCCAAATCCACCCTCAGTCCCAGATGTAGCTCTTATCAATGCATGTCAGCCCAAGCCAGCCCCAAGCCAGCCCCTCCATCCTGTACTCAGTACACATCCCAGGGCCCAGCCCTTAGGTAACCTTCACATACTAGCTATGAGGTGTGGGAGGGGTGGGAAATTGCAGGAGGAATCCCCAGTCCACCCCCCCCCGCCCCATCCACATGGCTGCAGATCCTGTCCACTGCTCCTTTCCCTTCTCTCTGCCCCTCCCCATACCCCGCACCTCTTCCTCCCCTTCTGCCCACCCCTCCAGCCCCCTGGATGCTCCCTCGTGTCTGCAGAGGAGAAGAAGCAGCGGAAGAAGGAGAAGTTTGGGCTCTCTGGGGAGAAGGGGGCCCTGCAACGTTCCAAGACCCTGATGAACCTCTTCTTCAAGGGAGGGCGGCAGGGGCAGCAGACAGCAGACTGGAGCAGAGAGGCCTGGACGCTGGACAGGGGGAGCTCCAGCAAGCCTCGCCCTTGCCTAGACATGGAGAAAGGTGAGTGCTAGCTGGCCATTGAGGAGGGCAGAGGTGAAGTCCTCTTTGGCATTCAGTCTGGGTTTAAATCCCACACTGCTTCTGTGAACCCACCCCTGTGCACCTCAGTCACCTCATGAGTAAAATGGAAGTAGTGATCCCTACTTCTTTAGGAATCACGAGGAATAAGTGAATGTGTGTATATGGATCACTTGGAACATTACCTGGTACACAGAGGGGGCCTCTGGAAATAGAGTGGTCATTGCTATACCCATTTTGCAGAAGGGAAAACAGATCGAGTCGCTTATAGCAAGGAGCAGAAGCCTTTGGGTCCTATCCCTGTGTTCTTGGTGCTGAGGGAAGAGGCCACCACTTTCCTAGAGCAACTGGATTTGCCTCCCCTGGCCAGAGTCTGACAGGCCCTACGCAGTTCTGGAGCCATCCTTCAACAGGGCAATTTCTAGACCAGGGCCAGGCAAGATGGCATTCGCAAGCTTCACTCTTGTTGGAGGTTTCCTTGGGACCCTCACAGAAGGCCTCATCTCTGGTGAGGTTCAGAAACCGGGAGTAGATAGATGAGTTAAGACTTGTGGGGTTGCATGGGACAGAAATTCAAGTAGCTTTAAAAGGAACTTGTTGGTTGAACTGCTGATTTAAGCTGGTCTAAAAGTGTCAACAATCTCACCAGAGATCTGTCCCCTCCATCTTTTGGTTCCTGGTTGGTGTCATTGTCATGCAATGTGCCCACTAGGAGTTAAGATGGCCACAGTCACTTAGCAACGCAGGGGAAAGAGCGTCTTGCCTTAAAGCCTTGTGGCTGACGCCCAGCCAGCTGGGGTCACATGACCAACAAATCACCGTGCCAGGGAAAGGATGCTTTCATGGGTTAGCCCGGGGCACTGCCCACCTGCAGTACAGACATGAGAAGAGATCCCAGGGGAAATTAGGTGACGTTTCCAGAAGGGAACGTGGATGTTGGGAAGGCAAAACAACCAGAGGATGAGGACTTAGGCCCTGCCCTTCCTTGAGGTCAGAGGTGACAGACCCACGAGGAGACAACCCCTTATATCAGAGCAGGCCAGCCCCCTCTACCCTCTCTTCCCACAGGCCCCCGGGTCCTGCTCTCTCCCAGTTTTCCCGACAACTCTCTGGCCATTCCTCTCTCTTCCTCAAAGGCTCCTCTTTTTCTGTCTGTCCTCTGAAGGTAGGTGCTATCCCAAGCTTTGTCCTTGGAGTTCCTGACCCCATTTATTTGCTCCAAGTGAATTTCCATTAGGAGAGGTCACACTGTACCCACTCTTGATAGAAAACTTCACTTGCTCCCCATTGCCTGTGAATGAAGCCCTATGCTGCGCATGGCCGCCCAAACCCTCCTGACCTGGCCCCTTGCCTGCCGGTCCCACCTCCTCCCAGCCTGGCCTCTCCATCCAGTTATTTACACAGTGAGTCCTGAGCCCCAAGCCCCTGTTTTTAGATGGAGGGACTGAGTCTTCAGCTGAGCCTCTTTCTTCTTCACAGCAGGTGGAATGGGGCCTGTGCAGAAGTTTGTCACCTGGAGACTGAGACGTGGTAATTCCTGCATCTCTTCCTTTGCCAAAGCTTGACTTATAGTAAATCTGCAAATGGGGTGCATGTTGGGGACAGCCTAGGGGCTAAACATGGGGGTTCAGGGGGTGTATATTGGGGGCAGCTAGAATAATTGGATTAAGCATAGTAGGAGAGATAGGGTTTCAGACAGATATTGGGGTACATGACTGCGGAGCTGGAGTTGAGACTCCCAGAGATTTGGGGGCAATGGTGGCCTCTGTGCTAGAACTCTAGTGAGGGAGTAGGTGAGTATGATGGTGCATGTTCAGTAGCCTGGAGGGTGGTGGGCTAGGACTCATTAAGGAACAGACTGGGGTCTGCGAAGGGGGTGCTGAGAGACTGGGGTTGGAACTCCACTTGGGAAGCCTCTGGCCCCTCCCCTAATGACTCCTGCCCCCAATGTTATACCCCTGTGCTCCTGCCTTGCAGACCAGGAGAGGAGCCGGGCCCTGCTCTCTGCCAGGTCCGGGAGTCCCTCCAGCCAGCTGCCCAGTGTGGAAGAACGGGTGCAGGCCTGGGAGAGCCGTAGGCCCCTTATTCAAGACCTGGCCCGGCGGCTGCTCACTGAGGACGAGGTGCTGGCAGTCACCCGCCACTGTGCCCGGGTGAGCCTCCAGAACCTGCCCCACCTCAGCCAGGGTCACCCTCAGCCACCTTGCCCCTCATTCACTCAGGCCCCTGTACCTGGGTCAGCCCCTATGCGACCAGTGGTCAGTAAAAGCTGGAATCACTTCTCTCTCTCTCTCTCACACACACACACACAGGGCCATCACAGTCAGGAATGGAGACAAACACAATAATTAGAACCTACACACTAGTACAGAGTGACAAATTATATAAACTGCTGTGAAGGGAAAACCAGGAGATGACCCAAAGGGTTATGAGATATTGTGGTCTGGGAGGGCCACCAGAGGAGGTGATATTTGAGCTGCAGGGGAGGAATGAGGCAGGAGTGGTCGGAGAGTCCCTGCATTTACTGCCTCTGTTCTCCTCCAAACCCAGCCTGCCCCCCAAGTCCCCTCCTGCTCCTGGGTTGGCCCACAGGCCCGCCCCCTCCCCTCTTACCCAAGTCAGTAAGCCTTTGTCCTCCCACACACCTCAAGCCTCTCCCACCTCCTACACTGTAGTTGTGTTCCCTTCCACTTCAAACAGAACTCGAGAGCCCCGGGGTGGGGCGGAGTTGCGTTTGAGAGAGTCTTTGTCGCCTAAATGTTGGGAAGGTGCAGGAGGATTGTTCTGACCCGGGAACACCCAGGTTTCCTGTCAATGGCTCTGTGTGATGAGTCTGTGTCAGCGCCTGGAAGCCTGAATGTACAGGCGAGTGGAGGAGTTTCAGGAAATCATTTGTGACCACCCCCCCACCGCCTCACCTCAGCCAGGTCGGGCTGTGTTGAACATCCGTGGGACACATGCACATGTCTGTGGGGTACCTGTGTTTTTGATAACTACGCTGTGTGATCCTGTCTGCATGGGTGTGCAAATGTGTGTCACTTGAAGACTGAGGTACAACAATTCATTCATCTCTTTACCAATACCATGTCTGCAGCAGAGATGCAGATAGGGGTATACATGTTTGAGAGCCTTTGTGCTGAGCCAAGTCAGGATTCAGGGCTAAGCAGAGCCTGGAGTATCCACCTCCCGTGAGCTGCCACTCTGAACTCTGGCCACGAGGTGGGGCTCTGTGTCTGTTTCTCTCTCCGCATCCCTCTGCTCCTCAGCCCAGCACTAGGGCAGGGCCCTTCACTTTGCCCCTGTAACACCGAGGATCTCTGCACACCAGCCAGACCTGGCCCAGCCCACACACACCAAGACGTCAGACCCTCAGGCATGGAGCCGCAGCCAGAGGGATAGCAGAACAGCTGCAGGGACTCAAACATGGGACTCCAGAACCCAGGCCTCCCTCCACTCTCCCCCTGAGCGGCCTCCTCACACTGCAGACCAGGCATTATAACCACCTCTCTGAACACTCACGCCCCCTCAGTAATCCCTCATCTGGCAGGAGAGTACAAGCCCACCCCCACCCATTGACTCTCAACCCACTAACCTCTGTGTTGTTCTCATCATCGCTGCGTTAGCACACCCCAGTCACACATGGTGCAGGTGCTTATGGGTTATAAACTGCGGGGCTCTGGGGGCTGCTCACACTAGGAGTCACACCTGTGCCCACGGAGGCCCTTCCTGTCTCCTGCAGTCAAGCTGAGCCTCTACCTGCCGTTACTCTGCACCACTGTGGAGCACTTTGCTCCAGCTTTTGTGCTGTGGCTGCATCTATCCCCCAGTGTAGTCAGGGTTAGTGCGCCCGCTCCGATCTCACCTTCCTGTAGACACCTTCCGCCCTATTGCCAGTGGTTTGTGGATCATTGGGGTACATGGCTCATTCTACCTCTCATCCCCTTTTGACTGGGTTCCCCGTTTTCTGGAACAGGGTCTGCATGGTTATGCTCCCACTATCCAGGACAGGGCATGGCCGTTGGTGGATGCTCTATGCGGGTCTGTGGACTTGAAATGCAGGCACATTTCAGCTCCTTCTGTGCAGTTACATCTATCTCTCTAGACCAAAGAGGGAGTATTGTCAGTTTGTGTATGTATGAGTACCTGTGACTTTGTGTGTGGTTTCGGGCCACACATGTAGTTTATATTTTATTTCCAGTTATTTGTGACTGTTTCTCTCTCTCTGACCAGCAGGGCATACTGTGTTTGTGTCCACCCCTAAGGGCACAGCGTGTCCCTGAGTCATGTGTGTCTCTCACCACCAGGGGGCGGTGTGCTGTCCAAGTAGGGAGGCTGCTGAGTTGGTTGGTAGGAGTGGGTGGGGTGTGACTAGTAGCCTCCGGACAGTGCCTGGCAGAAGAACCTCCACCCCCTGCGCACTGACTGGAGAGGCCTTCTGGGGAGCCACCCCTTCCCCAAGGCCCCCATAACATCCCTGCACAAAGCTCAATTTGTAGGTCTGTGCGCAGCGCTGGGACGGGAGGCCCACAGCCTAGCTTTGGCTCCAATTCCTTCCTTCTGGCCTGGCGGTGGGGGTGGGGAGGCCTGTCTGCTCCTGGAACATCCACATCCTTTTCCGCCACCAGAGCGGACCCGAGCCAGATTTCTCAGCTTCCAGCCCGTCTTCGCACTTCCTTGTCTGTGTGGCCAGAGGCCAATTCCGCCTCGCTCAGCCTTACTTTTCCTTAGCGCATCATAACGGGAAGGGTTAATGTCAGGGAGCTTGCTGAGTGTGAGAGGCTTAGCAGAGCGTCTTCCCAGAACTGCACTGTTTTTGTTGCTGTTACAGATTTGCTATTTCTTTTTAAATAGTGTTTTATTCCCCAAAACGTGTCCAGTTGGTGGAAGCTGTTCATGCCTCCTCAGCAGTGAGGGCATCTCCACCCACGGTATTTTTGGTGTAAATTACTTGAGCTCTGTTTTGAAACCAGTTTGCTGAGTTCTTTACTAAGGCGCTGCTGAAGGGCGGCTGGCCGGCTGAGGCAGTCTCCAGTCGCAGACACAACAGCGAGATTAGAGCGTGTAGCTGGGAACTTCCCAGCAGAGGTTGTTCTGCGCCTGCTCCGAACTTTGCCTTGCAACTTCTGGCTTTGCCTTGCCCCCAGACTTGTGCACTAGGGTTTTGTCTTTCTTGGCCGACTGCCAGCTCCTTTCTTCTTATATCCTTGTTGGGTGGCATCACAGAGCTCGGAGAGCAGCAGTGGCACAGCAGCCTCGCTAAGGAGTCAGACAAAAAGGGAAAAGAGGTCTGGTAGTATGGCCGACTTCCACATGGCTCCAGGATGAGACCATCGGGCAGCCTGGTGATGGGGAGAACCTCCCTGACCAGGGGAGGGGCCTGGCATGCCCAGGTCCCCCCTTTCAGCTGCCCCTCTCTGCAGTACGTGCACGAGGGTGGTGTGGAGGACCTGGTGAGGCCCCTGCTGGCCATCCTGGACCGGCCTGCCAAGCTGCTGCTGCTAAGGGACATCAGGTGTGGAGGATCACTGGGGGATCAATGGGGAGGGCCGTGAGGTTGGGGGGAGGAGGGAGGCCCTGGATGGCCCCCAGCCTTCCCAGGGCTGAAATCCCTGCTGGCACCTCCAGAACTGAGCTCTGCCTGTCCCCCACATCTTGCCTCTCCCTCAGGAGCGTGGTGGCCCCCACGGACCTGGGTCGCTTCGACAGCATGGTGATGCCCGTCGAACTGGAGGCTTTTGAGGCTCTCAAGAACAGGGCAGGTCAGCAGCTGAGGGACAGGACTGGCGGGGATGAGGGTGGGGTCTCCCAGAGGAGAGGCGTACGGAGTGCCACTTCAGCATGGGCATCAGGGAGCCTGGCCGGCGTCCCCTGCCTCTGACCCGTCCTCCTCTCTGACCAGTCCGGCCTCCTGCTTTGCGGCCAGCCCGGCAGGACACACCACCCAAGCGGCACCTCATCACGCCTGTGCCCGGTCAGTCAGAGCCCCAGAGGCTGGGGAGGGGCACGCCCTGGGCAGGTGGGGGGAGAGTGGCCTTCCATTCCTGCTGCGCTGGGCTGTGCTTCAGAGCTGCACTCCTCCCCATCAAGCCCATTCCAGCAGTCCCCCGCCACCCGTGCTACCATTCACCAAATTGTTATTAAACCCACTCACTTTTGAAATCTGGTCTCATTCTATGCAAAATCTGAGGTGCAACCTGCTGCTGAGCGACATCAGGTGTGCGGGACACCCCAGTGTGGCTTGGGAGCCATCTTCTTCTTAGATAACTTCATTGAAGTACAGCTGTAGCTGTTATAACCGAAAGTAATAAAATACTGTTACCGTAGAACATGGACCTGGCTCCTGGCTTGGGAACATGGCGGCAGGGCCCCAGCCAACCAAAGCCTGCGTCTGCCGGCCCCACACCCACAGAGGAGGTGTGGCAGGACCTCTGGCTGGGCCCAGGGGCTGAGGGGCTCGTCTGACCTCGGCCCCCTTCCCCAGACAGCCGCGGAGGCTTCTACCTGCTGCCTGTGAACGGCTTCTCCGAGGAAGAAGGTGATGGGGAACTGAAGGAGCGACTGGAGGGCCTCCAGGTCTCCCTGGGTGTCTCTGCCCCCCAGCACCCCCAGAAAGGGATTCCCCCTCTCCAAGACGTGCCAGTAGATGCCTTCGCCCCACGCCGAAGCGCCTGTACACCCCCTCCCCAGCCACCGCCTGTAGCCCCTCGGCCCCCGAGGCCCAACTGGCTGCTGACAGAGCCCCTGGCCAGGGAAGCCCCTCGTCAGAGCCGGAGCCAGGGCCCGGCCCAGAGCCGCAGCCGCAGCCGCAGCCGCAGCCGGGGGCAGGGCAAGTCCTCTGGGCACAGGCGGTCCCCATCCCCACTGCCTGTCCCCGGGCCCAGCGCAGCCAATGGGCACTACCACAAACCCCGCAAGGCCAGGCCCCTGCTGCCCAGACCTCTGGATGGACAGGTGGCCACGGAGGAGGGCAGCCAGGGGCCCTCTGAGAATGGGGCTGGCAGGATGGCTGAGGCCGCCGCCGAGGCGCCGCGTGGGGAGCTGCGGACCATCGCCCTGTCCAAGATGAAACCGTCCTTGGGTGAGTCCAAGGGATGGGTCTGCCAGGGAGGCCTCCTGGGTTTGGGCTGAGTTTTGGGGTACAACTAGGCTGCATGGGTCTAGGAAAATATTCTGAGTATGGGGTATTGTCACGAGCTCACCTTGAGGGGCTGGAGACCTAGAGGGTCTAGGAGTTGAGGATCGAGTGGTAACAGTCTGAGGATTTGGGAGTTGGGGCTCCGTCTGGATTTGGGGAACGGTCCTGGGTTTCTCCTGGGAGAGCTGGGCTTTAGGGGTGTATTGTCTCACCTGTTTCTCTCACTAGGCATCAGCATTTCTGGGGGCATTGAGTCCAAGGTGCAGCCTATGGTGAAGATAGAAAAGATCTTTCCTGGGGGGGCTGCCTTCCTCAGCGGGGATCTTCAGGTGGGTGAGGAGCAGCAGCCTGTTGCCAAGTTGGAGGGGGCGGGGCTGGCATGTGCTCTTCTACCCAGACATGTTTAGGCCCAGTCGTGGGAGGTTTGGGAGCAAAGGGGTCAGGCGTGCAGGATGAGCAGGCCCAGGAAGCTCAGTCCCCTCATGCCAGTCTGGGCCTGAGGGCGGCCCGTCTCGTTCTGCCCCTGGCCCCAAGGGACAAAGGGCTATTGTCCGCACCCCACCCTGCCCCCAAAGGCTCCTGGCACAACGGTCTCATTGTCCACCCCCTTCACCCTGATGGGGGAGTGGTGTCCTAGAGAGTGGAGGTGAGGTTGGGTGATGGGGTGGGTGGGGTTGACCGGAAGGAGGGCTGTGATTCTCCTGCCCCCACCCTGATGGGGGAGTGGTGTCCTAGAGAGTGGAGGTGAGGTTGGGTGGTGGGGTGGGTGGGGTTGACCGGAAGGAGGGCTGTGATTCTCCTGCCCCCACCAGGCTGGCTTTGAGCTGGTGGCTGTGGATGGAGAGAGCCTGGAGCAGGTGACCCACCAGCGAGCAGTAGACACCATCCGTCGGGCCTATCGTAACAAGGCTCGGGAACCCATGGAACTGGTGGTCAGGGTCCCTGTGCCCAGCCCACCGTCCTTACCCTCTGGCTCCCCAGCCCTCACTGACCAATGCTTTCCTGCTGACCATTCCCCTGCCTCCTGAACAGCTCCCTCTGGCTCCCAGCACCTTCCAGTAAGGGCCAGATGCTGTCCATTATGCCCTTCACACCAATATCCAGAGCCTTCCCACTGAGGCCAGCCTCGCCCAGCTGACCTTCACCCAGCCCCCTCTCCTGCCATCCAGACTCCTGGTACTGACTCTCCCCCTCACGCCATGACTCTTCCCACTGAACCCAGATTCTCCCAGTGACGCTCAGAAGCTCCTGCTCTCAGGCCCCTCCCCTCCTCTGACTCTCAAAATGCCACCTCCCAAAGTTCCACACAGGTGGCTCAGACTACCCCACTGTCTTTTCTCCCCAGTTGTCACTAAGGCTCTGCTCTGTCCAAGCAAACATGATGTCCAAGGTCAAGCAGCCAGTGGTGCTCACTGCCCCAGGCACCACAGGACAGGAAGGGGCTGAGAAACCTAAGGTCTGGTGATTGGAATGGTGGGGGCTATCTCCTGATGCCCTGTCCACTCCCCGGGCACCACAGGATATGGACTCTCAGGGCCCTCAAGGGGTCACTGCCTCCATCCCTTGGCCCCAAGCTGTGCCCTGTGTAACGGGCAGGATGGATGCACGGCACAGGCTATTACTCTATTTTCTCAGAACTTCAGGTGACTTCCTACTGCCGCCCACCAGGAGCTCAGACATTCCGCTGTGTGTCCTCCCTCGCCCCCACTCCCTTCCCCCCCCTCAGACTCCCATGAGAAATAGGGGAACAGCCAGCAAATAAAGAATGGGTGGGGGTCAAACAAGTTCCCAGCATCTTTATCCAGCATACTCAGCCTTTTTTTAAAACAAAAACTTTCTTAAATTTTTTCTTTGGGTTTGTACAAGAAATTTACAGTGTGAAAAATATACAAATGAAAACGAGGCCATAAACTTGGGTGTGGGGAGGGGCTACTTGGTCACAAACACAAATAAACAAAACATTTCTGAGTTCTTCCTTTGGTCTGACTACAGCCCCTCTCTCCAGGAGAGGCTGCAAGCTGAGAACTGGGGAGACCCCAGTCTTAGCCCTGTCCCCCAACATGGGCAGGGTAGGGGCAGGCACATCTGGAACAGCTGGTGCTGTCTGGCTCTCTCTGGCTTTGGGGTGGGAGACTGTGGGGATGAGCCCCTTTCTCTCCCAGCGCTCCCGGGGCGCTGGCGAGCATGGAGGCGAGTGCGGCTGACGGTGGCAGCAGTGGGAAGTGATGTGGGCAGAGCAAGCTGAAGCCTCTGAGTGACAGTGAACACAGGCCTGAGCGGTCTGCTCTTGTTCACCCACGCCATAGGGCGGCCCCACGGTATGGCAGAGGCCCAGGGGATGGGTGGTTTGGGGGCTCTTGGCGAACGGAGTCGACAGCCCCACTCGGGAAGCTCCCTGCAGAGCTGGGATGCCAAGGTCCCTAGATTTCAGTGGCCGTGATCTCCTCCAGGCAGATGCAGGGGGTCGGCTCGGCCAGGCCCAGGTCGGCGAGCTCCCGGGCCTCCAGCTCCAGGCTGAGCTGCTGCAGCTCCTGCTCCAGCTGCCGGTTGCGTCGGTACATCTGGATGTAGTTGTGCTGCAGCTGCTTCTGGTAGCGGATCACCTGCTCCTTCTCGGCCTGCCAGGCCAGCCGCTCTCCCTCGAAGCTGTCCTTCTGCTCCTCGCCCCGCTGCCGCTCCCGCTGCAACTCTGCCCGCAGCCGCTCCACCTGGGCCCGCAGGCTGCCCCCCACCCCAGCCGCTGCCCGCTGCGCCTTGGCCTCATCGCTCTCCGCCAGGAGGAATGGGTCAGTGGTCGCGGGTGGCACAGGGGGTTCCCGGAGTCCGGCTGCCTCGCTGTCCAGCTGCCCAGCTTTCTCCCGCAGCCGCTCGGCCGCCTGGCGGTGCCGCTGCAGCTCCTGGGAACAGGCCTCCAGCTCCAGCTCCCGGGCACGGGCAGCTTCCTGCAGGCCGCGTGCTCGGCCCTCGCTGACACGCAGCGCCGCCCGGGACTCCCGCAGGGCCACGCGCAGGGCCACCAGCTCACTGCCCTTCTGCACCAGCTCTGCCTGGGACTCCTTCAGTTGCTGCTTCAGCAGGGAGATCTCGCCGGACTTCTGGCACACCTGGGGAGGGGAGGGGTCGGGGAGGAGGGTGAGAAGGGTTTTCCCAGGTTCAGGCCCTGACGCGTGCCGGCCCCTCAGGGAGAGGAAGCCGAGTCGTGATACTCATGGAGACACGAAGTGAGCCTAGTGACACGGCCGGGCTCGTACAGGTAAGCAGCTAAAGTGGGTCTAGACCCAGGTCTTTGCTTTCAAAGTGGGTGTCTTTGGTCACTGAGAAAGCACTGCAGAGCCCTGGGAACTGGGTGGCAGCCGGCTGTGCAGGAGTGGGGGCCACTGAGGGCACTGTCTGCGTCTCTCGGTGTCTCGTTACGAGCACACTCGGGAGTCGGACTACCTGACTCCCTGCTTTGCCAGCAAGTGTGATTTGGGGCTTCAGTCTTTCTGGCCTCAGTTCCTACATCTCTAGAATGGGGATGTTAAAAGAGCCCATGCCAGGGTTAGAGGACAGACTCGCCACAGCATGAAAGAACACTACGGCCTCACTGTACTGGCTGAAAGGAAGTAAATGCGAGTGCAGCTGGCTCCGTGGGCGCTACACAGGTCCCATGAGGAGACCCCCACCGAGAGAGAGCTCGCGGGGCCCTGTCCCAGAGGGGCGTGGGGAGGCCCTGCTGGCGTGGCAGGCGGCCGGCTCCCCTTTGCAGGGCTTGTCGCTGCAGGCCCTGCTCCCTGTCCCTCCACCTGGCCCACCTCCCACTTGGTCTCCTCCAGCCGGGGCCCGAGCTCCCGCTGCTCCCGCTCGAAGGTGGCACAGCGTCGCTCCAGCTGCTCCCGCTCCTGCAGCAGCTGTGCAAAGTCGTCCTGCAGCTGCCGCTTCTCCTGCTGCAGCTGGAAAACCTGCAGCTGCAGCAGCTGCTGGGCTCGCTGTGCCCGCTGTGACTGGGCCGCGCCATCCTCACGCACAGCCTCGCGCTCTCGCTGCCAGTGCCGCTGCCGTTCCTCATATACCTGTGGGCGAGAGGCACACCTGGTCCTGGCAGCCCCCCAGACCGCGAGCCCTGGAGCCCCCAGCTCCCCCACTGTTCTGGTGGCTCGGCGGCCTGGGCTCAGGGAGGGGAGATCCCACTAAACATGGTATTAATGATGGCGACAGAGGCCACGGCGACCCGTGTGCTGAGAACATCACACACCAGTAGCAAGCACCCCCGTAGCCCTTTTCGGGCGGCAGGCATCGTTCTAAGACCTTGCGCCCTCTGCCTCACTTACTTCTCACTAGCACCCCAGGAGATGCCTGCACTCACAGGCTGGGGAACCAGCCTCAGTGCGTGTCACGCTGAAAGGTGTAAATGCGGCACTAGTGGCACCCTCACCTCTCTGCAGGCCAAGCCTGATGGGGGGGGGACCCCAACATATGCCCCAGCCCCTCCTCCACCCCCACCCAGCTCCTTGGATTCCCAGCGCTCTAGATATGCCACCCCCCATTACTGCCACTGACCACACCTGGCACATGGTCACCTCGCTCTCGTCCAGACTGTCCCGTAGCTGCTGCAGCTCGGCCTCCCGGTCACGGAGCTTTCCTTCCAGGACACAGTGCAGCAGGGCCTCGTCCGAGGGGGGCGGAGGGGGCGGGGGCGGGGGCGGGGAGCGCTCCCCACAGGAGCTGCTGTCAGGGGAGGCCCGGGGACCGCTGCCTAAGAGCGCCCCAGCCACACGGCCCCCCAGGGAGCCTGTGCTCTTGCTGGAGGAAGATCGGCCGCTGTCCGAGTGGGAGGGCCCAGTGGGGGCCCCTCGGGCTGGCCCAGGCAGTGCCCCCCGCCCAGGGCCATGGGAGGGCAGGTGCCCACCTGGGGAGCTGGTGGCTGGCTCGGCACCCCCAGTGCTGTAAGTGGGCAGGCTGGACAGTGAGTTTCGGCCCGAGTCAGACAGTGTCCCCGACGGGCAGCCGCTGACCCAGCCACTCAGTGCCAGGGGCTTGTCAGCAGCTGAGGAGGAGGAGGAGGAGGAGGAGGAGGCCGGGCCTCCGAACAGCTGCGTTAGGCTACCCTGGCTCCCAGACAGTCCGGCGGCCCGAGGACCCAGGAAGCTAGGCAGGGACGGCGCCCCTCGAGGTTTGGGCAGCACCGGCTTGAAGGCTGTTGGGCGGATCAGGATTTTCTCCATGTTCTGAAATGAGGTGTCACGCGACACTGGGGATGAGCCGCCCAATCTTTCAAAGCCCTATCACACTCCCTGCCCGCCCATCTGGGGTCCCCAGTCCCCCTATTTGATAACAACTGCTGCCTCCAGCTGAGTGTCAGCTTTATGTCAAGCAATTTAAAAGGTTTGTCTCCAAACACTTCAGCAGCCATGTGAGCAAAATACTATCAGTGTCCCCACGTCACAGAGGAGGAAGCGGAGGCTCGGCAAAGCTAAAGGCCTTCCCCAAGGTAAACACATACTTGTGCAGTGTTCCAATCACTTAGGAAACGAGCCTTTATTGAGTACATTATGCACCAGGCACTCGGTCAAAGGCTTTACGTATATGTTAGTCAATTTTATTCTCACAGTCCTGTGAGTTATCTGTTACCTCTAGTTCACAGATACAGAAACTGAGGCTCAGAAAGATTAAGTGACTTTCCTGAGATCACACAGACAAAATAAGGAGGAGCTGGGATTAGAACCCAGCGGGGAGAATCTGAAGCGCATACTCTTTCTTTTAAACAGGCCTCCAAATTCCAGCTTCTCCAGGGGCATCCTGATTCCACCCAGGCCCCAAAGGAAGGCCCACTCCTCACCTTCTCCAGCTTTCCAGACACAGGGATGAGCTTTGGTGGGGGCCCACGGAGATGGGCATTGCGTGCCCGCTGTTCTCGGGCATCTTCAATGTCACTGCTAGGACTGGGGGGTGACTCTGACCGGAAGTCCTCGTTGATATAGGTGAAGCTGGTGCCAGGGACGGTCTTCCTGGGGGGCACAGCTGGGCACAGAGGCTCCTGTGCCTCATAACCACCCCTCAGCAGTCCATCCTGCTGGCGGAAGAAGGTGGGCCCAGGGGGGCCGTGGTGGCGGGGAGGAGCTGGCCCCCCCGGGCATGGCCGACCTGAGATGAGGCTGCTCACGCTGCCCATGGCTGGAGCTTGTGGGGCAGTGGTGGCCTCAGGAGCAGGTTCCAGTGGCAGTGGGAGGGTCTGCACGATGGCCATGGCGGCAGAGGCTCAGGCCTGGCCAAAGGCCTCCAGGGGAACCTGTGAGCAGGACAGCAGTGTCAGAGTCCTTCGTCATAAGCCCTTCCCCCCCCACCATTTCCTCAGTTCCTCTCCTGCCCCTTTGTCCCTTGTCAAACACTGCTCAGGCAGCAGTAATGAGCCCCGACGGCCACCAAGGCCCCCTTCCAAGCGCTGGCAGGGAACTTAGCTCCCCCTGAGCCCCAGACCACTGCCCAACTGTGGCCTGAACAGGGCAAAAGGCTTAGTCTACCAAGCAGGGATGGGAGGCCTGGTAGTTTTGGGGACGCCTGGCAGCTCAAAATTGCATCCCCCACCCCAGAGGCCAGGACTCAAGTGAGCGACCAAGCACAGGCCTCTGACCCCCTGGGACAGGTGGCCTTGTTAAGGGCAGTTTGGGCAGAGGCAACCTGTGAGACGCAGTCAGCATCTCAGATGGTAATTACGGAACAAAGAGCCAAGGTCAGGCAGTGCCCGGCCTCCCCTAGCTGGGCCTCAGTTTCTCCCAGACAGAGAGGCGGCAAGGGTGGAGCTGGTCAAACAAGAAACCCAGAGTTCTTGGGGGAGCCCACAGGGACCGCTAGGGTCCCTAGAGGTGGATACAGGGTCAGGCTTGTTTCCATGACAACTCCTAGTTTCACCATACCCCATCAGTCTGGCCTAAAGGAGCCCACTGCTAACCTCTACAAACCCCCCCCAGCTTTAGACTTTGCCAGAGTAACTCCAAGGGCATGGGGGGGGGGGGGGGGAGGAGAAGCCCCAACATCACCTCTGGCAGCTGTTCTGATCTCACTTCCTGACAAAGCCAGGGAGGAGGGCTCCACCTCCCCAGGCCCGGCTTCTTCCTGGAAGGCGACAGCAAATCTCTATCCGAACTCCCTCCCTAGTCCTGAGCCAGACCAGAACTCAGGAATCTGCTGAAGTCATCACGCAGGGCAGGGAGCAAGAAGTGGACGGAGAATTACGTGGGAGGAGCAGCATATGCATTCACTGATTTGTGTGTGTGCAAAGAACAGGAGAACTGTGTGCAAACTAAAGTACGTGTAAAAAGCCTTATGGAGGAATGTGAGCACACACACAGGTACGTTTGGACAGATGTTTTGGTCCATTTCTACGCCTGTGTGAATTCAGACAAGTTTAACTTATGAGTATGTGTGTAAATAGCGGTGACTTGGTATTTTAAGCTGATATTGGTATTTTCAGTGGATTTGTGGTGTAGGAGTGATGAGAGGGCAGAGTGTCGGGTAGAAGCACATTCCAGTATACGTGAGTTCATGTGTAGAGTCAAGTGCGTCTGTCACACAAGAGTGTGAACAGGAGAGCACATGTGAGTAAGCGTGTGTGTGTGAACAGGAGCATGTGTGAGCCTGGGTGGGGCCTGGGTGGCAGGCAGGGCCAATCAGGTGAGGGGGAGCCTGGTTTTTGTCACTGGAGTGTGGGGGAGAGAGGAGACACCCATTATTTGACTCTGCTGCTTGCTCTGCTCCCTCTCTTTTTGCTTGGTTCCAGTAAGACCACCCCTCCTCCTCCCCACCCGAGTCAAAAGCCACAGAGAATGAAGAAGGTGTCCAGGCAGTAGGAGCTGGGAGCTGCAGGGGGAGGGGGGCAGGCACTCCTGCCGGTTGGCGGCTGGGTCCTCCCACAAGAGCCACCTTGGGGTAAGTGGTGAGAACAGCCCCTCCTCTGTCCCCTCCAGACCACTCCAGGGCATGGGGAAAACAGATGGCAGGGGAGTTCGGGGGCAACCCGGGCTGGCACCTGTCTGCACTTCCCCACTTCAGTGAGCACAGAGAAAGTGAAAAGTGAGGGAAGGAGCGAGACAGGCTCAGAGAAAGACGGAGAACCAGAGGATAAGAGACAAAAGAGTCAGAGGGCCCTCGGGCCAGGCAGACAAGGAGACGGCAGAGCCTGCGGCCCGGAGCCCCAAGCAGCGAGGGCCCCAGTACTCAAGAGACATAAAACTGGGCCTGAGAGCCAGACACCCTGGGAGCCGGAGCCAGGCGTCTGGAAGACAGGCCCAGCCAGCCCGGCTCCCGCTCACTCGCTCGCTCGCTCGGAGGCCGAGAGAGAAGGAGGGGCAAGCGGAGGCTCCATTTTGAGAAAGGCTTTTGCGGCTCTGGGAACGCGAGCCCCTCGCCTCTCAGCCCCCGCTGGGCGGTCACCCCGCTGGCAGGGCGCTCGCCAACGCCGGAGTGGCCTGGGGGAGCCGGGGGTCGGCTCTCGGCCGCAGCCAGAGAGGTCTGGCCAAGAGCCGAGCTCCCACAGCCCTGCTCCGGGGGCTGAAGAGTTGGGGAAAGTCTCCCCTTCGCCAAACTCCGAAGACCAATCCGGCGGGACCGAGGCTGGGATCACGAGTTCCCATTCCGCGACAGGAAGCGGGGAGCCCGCAGCCCACCCTCCAGAGCCCGACCCCCCTTCCCTGAGGCGGGGGCGGCGGTGGAATGCCGACTCCCCCGCTGGACCTCCGCCGGGCAGAAGTTGGGGCGCCCCAGTCGCCTCCCAGCCCCGGCCCCCCC